CATTAACAAACACATTATTTTATCAACATTCCGCAGACGAATCGTCGAGTGACATCTTTCACTTGTTTTCTGCCAGAATTCCACGGTGTAATCATGCGAATTCGCACTGTATGATCGTTGCATCTTCACGTTGATCCAGCGATCATTGATTATCGAAATCCTAAACTTGGCGTTAGTGTGAATCTTCACATTCCAACAACATACCACAAAGTGAAGATTTGCAAAACAGTTTTGACGTCCCATCATGTGTTTATTGTTGATGGAATTCAATTCAAGATTCAATTGAATTCGAAATCTTTTCGAAACATTAGTCAAGGTTCACGACGAAGTTTCTTCATATCCAGAATGAACAAACCTTTGGATTGTTCTTTTCTGCTTGCAAGGAATCGCTTGTGTTGCGTGTTTACGGGGAAGATGGCAACCGTGCTGAACACTGATTGTGTGTTCGTTGCTTCAATTTCGCGTTGAATTAGTCAAGCAAAAACCAGACGACAGCAATTTGTTAATTTAAGAGAGTGAAAGGTGGTAGGTGAGACACTCCCGATAATGGAAATTACACGATCTCTGCGAGCGATTCTTCGTGACACACCTGGAATTCAGTATATTTTCGTTACCGACAAGGAAGGAGTGCCGATTGTCGGAGTCAGTGAATCTTCAGGTTCCTAATATATTCTTGTTTTGAATCCGCTGTCTCATTCTAATTTCTACTGTTTTTGGCTTCCAGTTTCCTTAAATACATTTTGAAAAATATTTCTGAAAACGTTTTAAATGTGGGGTGGAAATATCTGATGCAATTAAATGAATTTTGCTCGTTGTGCTTTCTCCGGTTGACTGGACTGCGCTTGTTTGCGACTGCTCACAAATACGACGTGCAACGAGCCAGTGTTTAGTGGTGTCTGAGATTGTTGATGTTTTGTATCTGTTTGAAGGTGAAGAATTCCGTAATCGTGCGCAATTGATCAACAGCTATCAATTGGCTGTCGAACAGACAGCAAAGCTGAATATGGGTGAACAGAAAACGGCCATATTTCGGTGAGTTTTCTGATTGATTCGTACATCTGCAAATACCACTCGCAACTCTGACGAATTGTTTCTGTACATTTAAGCAATCAATTAAGCACCTCTTAAACGATCATCGTTCACTTTTGATAGCAACACAAAAGAATTACGTGACATATTCTATCATTCTCTGAAATGACTCACAGGCGATCGTTTTTCGCTGTTCGATTATGTGAATTTATCGTGACATTCATTGTTTCGATTAGTTGAGCCATTACCTAAGGGAATTATGAATGTATTCAAGCAATAAAGTACAATAAAATTTTACTGAGTATTCGTGGAATACGTGGGGGGTATATTCAAACGCTTTGGTCAATCGTGTTTGATGGCTGCATGAAAACATCCGAATAGCCATTAATTCATTACATAATTCTGCACTTATACTGAGTGATCCCATGTGGTTCAGTAAACATTTGAATTAATAACATTTTTCATTGGACGACAATCGATTCGAATACAAATTTGCGCCTCCTCGATTTTTGCGTTTCAGTCGACTGATTCGTTTTCATCGGAAGCATTTTTTGAATGTTTTTTTGCATTTAACGGGGCATGAACGATTATTATTCAGTATCAGTCGGCATCATTTTAATAATTAATCTCAGGTTATGAATTAGAAACATGAATGAATTGATTTTATGTCGGGGACACTTTTCTGAAACTGCATTTCGGGAGCTTTCATCCATATGAAACACGTATGGTTTTGGTTAGCAGTTGTCAATTCACGTGTGAGGATTCGTGTTGTAGCTGGTTTCGTGTAATAGCAATAACAATCCCGATAAATCTGAATGCTGTCGTTGTTTTCATTTCATCACGCTAGCTTATAGAATACAAAATTTTGTATTCCGATTTCAATATCACGTCCGTGCATATCTTATTCAATCACAGCATAATGCTTCTCGTGCCATAGAAACTACCCTATGTTCTATTTTGTTCCTCCATCCTTAGAATTAGTGAACAATGGCGCTGCCGATGGAATTATGTCGGAATGATCAACTGATTCGGATTGGCCATACTGATCATTCGATTTGTTTTTGAACGAATTCTTTGTAATAAAAGTACAAAGATGGATAGTGAAACACATCCGAATCATAAGATTTACAATATATTCTAATTGGAACAGATATATGGAACAGGTTTACAACAGAACAGATATTCATAGTTGAGGAGCTATAGCTATTTTATCAAAGCTATCTGAACTGGCGCTGAGGTGCTCATTGATATGCATTTAATCACTACAGATCAATTCGTTACTATAGAAATATGGGTACATTCAAGCCTACCGTCTTCTCAAGTTATACTATAGAAATATGAGTACATTCAAACCTACCGTCTTCTCAAGTTTGGACGGATACATATTCAAAATTGTACATCCTTCGATTGAGCAGAATCTCTCCTTTCCTATTGAAATATGGGTACATTCAAGCCTACCGTCTTCTCAAGTTTGCCCAAAACACATACATTCAAGCCTACCGTCTTCTCAAGTTTGCCCGAAAACACATTCAATTTTATCTCATTCCTTAATTCGTCAACCATGAATTAAGGAATGAGATTTTGATGTGTTCGTCATTAGAAGGACAACAGAACATCGCACTATTTCTAGCTGTTCAAAGGTGTTATTTGTTTGCTGTTTTATTTGTTCGCACATTTGACAAGTATCCGACGCTTTTGGTCATTGTATTATCACACAGTGATAATACAGTGATAATCAGATTGAAATCATACAGCAAGTTGTGGTTCATCAATATACATATGACATCAGATAGAGTATGGAACTGCGTAAACTGCCGCGTATAGTAATAATATCCCGGATAAGTTCCTCGCTAAAATTATTGTGTTTTTTGCAGTTATGAAACCAGCGAGTTGGTTGTACTGAATATTAAACCGTTAGTTGTTTATGTGGTGGCCAGTTCGGAGTGTCCAATTGGAGTTCTTCGGCAACTGAGAGTACCTCTGGAACCAATCGTCAACGAAATTGCTTCAGCCACTAACATTCCGATTGCTTGATTGATGCGATCATTTTGTGTGATCTGTGTTCGCGTTTTATTTCGCTCATCTCCACCATGTGATGCATTGTTTCAAACGATCAATACTGCGTGATCAGGCGGAAATTTTGATCGCTTTTGTCATTGCTGGAGTAAAAGTTTCGGTAAAATTCCTAAACAGAATGGCGGTGACTCTTCGGAATGATGTTATCTTTGTAAGACGCTTTGTTTAGTGTTGGAGGGTGGCATTGTTGACGTTGTGAAATGCTTTCGAGTCGAATTACGATGAATTTTCATTCGTTTTATTTAGTTTTTCGAAGAATTATTACGGATATCATCCATTCTGATCCGGAAGATAGCCTATTTATAGGATTCATCTTGTGGCTTTTCAGCCTCATGCTTTCGAATGTTTTTTTTNATGTTCAATATTCATAAATATGTGGTCATGTTCCAGAATTTTTAACGATGTGATGTTGTTTTATGTAATCGATATAAATAATGGAAGTTCTTTCAGTTAACTTCTGTGAGTGACCCGATCATTTTGTGTGATCAAAATCACTCTTAAAATTATTCGTTGGTGTGATTTTTTCATCAACATTATGGATTCACCAGTTAAGCATAAACACAGCTCATCATATGCTGATGTTTTCTCTATCATGCTGAATTTGTTGAATCAAAACTGGAAATGTTTCCTGAAATTTTGCTATTCCAGATGATGGTTTTCTATAAATTTGTCTCTTTTTTCATTTAATTCCTTTGATGAATATCACCGTCCGTAAACGAGTGTGTGAAAATATGTGTCACTTCAATCGTGCTGAGAAATTATTTATGAAAAAAATTTTTTTTATAAGTATGTGGTCATGTTTTGGATTGGAGAGTTGCAGATCCGAAAGATCAACATCTTTCAATCATGTAACGTGATGAGACAAGCTTTCCCAGATCATTCCTTGCATCAAGGGAATTCGGAGAGCAACGCCAGTGCGATTGTAGCATTCGCGATGGCGATTTTTTGCTGTTAATCATTTGCAATTTCATTCGCATGACCCAAAAACGAGTAGAAATTATTGCAGAATTGTACTCGTTGTGCCAGTTTCGCATGCTCATTCTCATGTGCTCCCAATAGATTCATTATCATTTGATTCCCGCTGGGATTCATTGCGCAAAACAAGAGATTGCTTATTATTTTGCAGGTAAGATATTTTGAAAATAAATATTCCTCAGAAAACGCTTGATTACACGGAATTTTTGCTCATATAATGGAATTGATATAACGACACTGCAATTGAGTCACTCTCCAAAATTTATTCTCGATAAACTCAAGAAACGAGAGTAAATTGTGGGAACAAAGTGATTAGTACATCGGAATTGTTTGAAATTCTATCGGAAATTTATCATTTCGACGGATATTTGCGATTTGTGAATTCATTCACTGGAACTTCTCAACTATTCAATTGCTCGTTGTCATTCGGAACTAATTCAAAGGGGTAGATTGGAGTATCTTGCGCTGGATCCGGCCATATTGTCTGACGATGAAATTTCGAAAATAGCAATGAATTTCGACGTGGTCGATCTTGTTGCATCAATATTCGAAAACCACCTGAAATACCAAGTTGACTTCCTCCGTTACATGACAATGATGTAAGATTCGCTGAGTTTGGTGGATTTAACGGACTGTATGTTTCAAGCTCGTTATGCGACTTCTTTGCCCGGAGGCGCAACAAAATCAAGAAATAAACGGACGAATATAAACCAAAATCTTTTAAAGGTAAACGTGAAATTTCGATGATCGTGATAATATCTTGCGTAACTGATATAATAAAGGCATATAATACAGAATGGTTAAAACAGATAACCTTTATGTACCTATGAAATGATGCTGAAATGGTAGATCGAAAAACAAGATTGTCGAATAGGAAATAGGATCAACGTTGCGAAAAATATTTCTACTTTTCAAAGAGTTCTTTTAAAATTGCTAGCAGAATTCCATTAGCGAGACCGACTGCATTGTGCATATTTCTTGTGAAACTAATTGAAGTGAAATTTATGGTCGATGTGAACTGGAGAATATTAACCTCACATTGATCATACAGTAATTGCCAAGAATTAGTTACTGTTGAAATATTGATTCACGGCCGACGAACGGTTGCCTCTTAAAGGGTCAGTGAAAATAGCAAAAATTCAAAATCAAAATTAACATTACTGTATGGAAGATAGGCGGACGAAACGAGAATTTCAGCTGCCAAGAAAACGAACAATAACTGAGTGGCGCACGAATTTCGATTCACCATTGAAATAATGCGTTCCGATCAATACGGTAGAACCAACTGAGATCCTCTAAAAGTTTTTGATATTCGAGCGAGCGAATCCTGTCGATGTTATCATAAGACGTATCGTGATGCATTCGATGAACAAACAAACAAACGATAATACAACCCATAATCATGCGAAAACAGTTGAAAAAACAATCGGCCGGATGAGCAAGCAGAGACTAATTGTGACGAAATTACCGCTTGTTTTGGTACAAGTCATGCACTTTCTTTCCAGAACGATATCACC